TTTTTTTTTGGCCCCAAATTTCGGGGCATGGGGGTGGCCCCGAAACTACTTGAAAAAAGACTTTGGGGCGGATGCGCAGTCGCCGATTTTCTCCCCCTACCACGAACAGCAATAGGCCACAGTTTGTGAGGGAATATTCTTGAAGACACGAAGGCCGTTCATTCATTTGATACCTCAAACCAACGCGTTCTTCAAGGTGGTTTCAACGAACGAAAGGCCGACGATGGTGAAATCAGTTCCCACTGAGCAAACTTCAAGAGCATTGCCAAGAGGCGTATCCGACGACCGCGCGCAGCACGTACACCATCATCGATAGCAGAACGCGAAGAAAACAGACAGGCAGCATCGCGGGCCCAGAATTTTGCGGGGGTGGGGGAGGGAGAGCCCAAATGTTGCTTGCCTCCGTCACTCGAACACTTTAACCACAAGCGCCAATCGAGACAGAACGCTGGAAGTTATTGTCCGTACTACCAGGGCGGCGCCTCTTTCATATTCTGCTCCCTGTCTATGGTTCACTCCCTGGAGATCTTGGCAGTAGAAGTACCGTCAAACAATGGGCAACTTCTGTCTGGCTCCCGTTACACGGGGGATTGGTGGGGTGGGGGTGCGATAATAAAATGCCCACACCACAGTGGTACACATCACAATGGTATAGGGGTTTACCTACATAGCCTGGGGGGGTAGCCCCGGCCTCACCCTGAAGCCTTTTTCCCTTTGGCCAGCGGCTTCACAAGGAAGGGCCATCTCACGAGAACTCCCAAAAATGTCAGGACCAAACTGCGGTGGCCTAGCGTGCCGGAAGAACGAAGTCTGTCTTACCGACATCGTGCTGCTGTGGTTTACGCCTCATGCAAGTGACAAGAGCTTCCACTTTCCAACGCAAGCCCCAGACAAACTTTCTTGGGCAAAGCAATGAAAAACGGAGAGATCAGTTTGCAAGTGGCTTTCCTCGACCCCCCCCCCCCCCCCCCCCCCCCCCCCCCCCCCCCCNCCCCCCCCCCCCCCCCCCCCGTGTTTGCCATTGGGGTTGGGTTTTCGTCGCTTCGCAACGACGTTGTAAAACAAGACCCTCCCTCGGTGTTTGCCATCGGGATTGGGTTTTGGGTTTTCGTCGCTTGGAAACCACGTTGTAAAACAAGCCAGTTCACTTCGTGAACTCGGCAACCATGTTACCGTTTGTTTTTTTACCTCTGTTGTTTTTTTTTGCGGTAACCATAATGGTGGTCGAGTAGATAATGTTGTGCGGGGTCGAGAACCCTCACTTCGCGCAAGGGGGATGATCGCACCACGTTGTGTTAAATTGGTCGAGCACCCTCGAGGCAGTTGCACAGTGCTTACAACTGTCTCAGGAAGTGAAAGCACCAGAAANAACTGTCTCTGGAAGTGAAAGCACCAGACAAGTACTCAAGTCATACAGAAAATAAATTACGTCATACGCAGCTGTCATCCGTACGCAAGGAAGTACGCACAAGATGCAGCGCACCCTTCATGCGACTCGCCGAATGTCTCATGGCGCTTCGCGCTTGGTGATGTGAGAGAATGGTCCGGTGAGAACCCGGCGTGCTCCGTCCCGGCTTTGTAGGGATGCGAGGTCAATGGTCTAACGACTACGGCATGCACGACTATGATTACCCCCCCCCCGCCCCCGCCCCCCGCTTGTCTCTAGCTCTACTTTCCCCCTGATGCTGCTTCTACTCCAGGTTCCACAGGTTCCGCGAAAGGTCGCAGCTTGGCCACCAACATTTCCAGCACGACGGGGTTTAACCCATCCGGGACAATCATGTCGCAAAATTTCTGCGATCCAAGAACACCAGGGCGAGGAACAAAGGGAAAGAATGCGCGAGATGATAGCAATAACGCGGCAGTGACGTTGTGCTTCAACCCTGTGTGTAAATGATTGTTACAGGGGCATGACAGCGGAACATGTAACTTTCCCACCTTACCCATGCCGCCTACACGACCTTCCGTACTAAACGAAAAAAGTTGTCGTAACATCTTTTTGTGGTTCTCATCGCAGCCGTCGCGGCACATGGTCAAAACTTTCTCTCTTTCTTTTAACGCGCACCTTGGACGGCGTCACGAAGAGTTCGTGCATAGGTCGAACAGTTGCCAGGTACTGCGCGACGACCTCGTCAGCCGTGCGATTTCTCTCCGCGATGTCTCTCTGCATTCGCCTAATGAATCTGATGTCCGGTTCCTGTTCGAGCATGCACGATGCAGAGCAGTGGGGGGGGGCTTCGTGGTGTATAGGTGGGATGCGGAATGGTAGGCCGGTGACGTAGCTCGGCATCAATCGTCACGCGTCCTGCGAAAAACCAGAAACACGTGAAGCACACCAGGTAAGGAGGACACGCCTGGGGTACTACATTGATGTGCGGCAATTTCATAGACGCAGAGCACCGCGTACCATATTTTGTTTGGCCATGTAGCCTATGACTATTATACACAAAACAACAGGATAGAGGTACTGGAAACAGGCCAGCCAGGAGGTTTCTACACGCCAACGTCACGACCAAAGTATCAGCAACGTTCGACGCAACTCTGAACATTCTGCCAGGTGCCACCTCCGCCCCTCGCCCTTCGCCTGCACCGTCAGCGTATGCAGTACAAATCGCTATCTCTTACTTTTTCGTTTTTATCGTGGGCGTTCTCACCGTATCTACGAAGATCTTGACGTCCAGGAGGTCTCGAAGCTCCGCGTGAGCGAAAATCAGGATCCCTTCCACGATGATCACTCCCCTGCCCTCAGCCCTGACGATGCAGTGTCATACGTTCAGAGAACACCAAGATTGCAACAATACAGGGAGCGGGGTATTCCTTCGTCCCCCTACAAAGTGTAGGACCAGATTGTCCTTGGAAAGTCTTCAAGAACCATCGGACTCGGGAGGTACTGATCTCCGAAAGTCAGGATATTAGCATCGACCTAGTTGTGAAGACACACATACATCGGGCAGAGGTCGGGAGACCTAGCCGATAAGTTTCGTTAGTCTAGGATTTTTCACCGAGAACGATCCACCGAACGCTGCAAACACCTGGATGATCTTGAATATGGGAAAGTGTGTCCACGAAGGCACAATCTCATCTTCACCTTTCTTGCACGTGGCTTGGCCGAGGCCACGCTTGGCATTCCTCTCCACATATCAAGGAGATAACATGCGTTAGCCGGTGGACGGCAAAACCACTTCTTCACGGGACTCTTGACCTCAGATGAAGCAAGGCTATTCTCATTTCATTCAATGAATCAACAACGATGGTTTTCGCGAGACTTGCCTTTGTCCAAAAACCAGGGAAGCTTCTGCTGCCGCAGGGCATCGTAAACGATGCGAGGCACTAGAAGTACCCACCTGGGATGGACTCGTGCATCTTGCCGCGGATTCGCGAGAAATGAAGTCTATGAGGAAATACCACAGGGAGGGGGTACGCAGGCCCTATCCCTAACCGAAACCCTACTTCCCCGATTGCATACTTTGTCCGACACGTTTTCGTAATAAAAAAAACGTGCGCTAAGGCTACTGGGACCCCGGTGTGCTGCGTTGAGAACACGAGGACGTACCTCGTCGTCTCCTCTTTGCGGGAGTGGACGGTGAAGTCGTACATAGGAACGTCCGCAGCCCCGCCCGCCTTGAGCATCTCTGCATCCACACGGGAGCAAAGAACAGGCGGACGTACCGCAAACGAGTGTAGACTAGCCATTTACGCAGAGAACGTAGAAACAGGTGTGTGGCGGCTCAAACTCCTTCCGGGGGCGTAGGGTCCCAGGCTCGAGGTGTCCAGTTAGCTGTACTCCGCTACCGAGGTCGGGGAAGCTTTATCCGTTGATGTCTGGGCAAGGAGAAGAGAGTGAGCAGGCTGATACCACCTACCGTAAAGAGACAGAGAGATGCTACCCCCCCTAGACCGACTTTCAAAGCTCGATTGCTCCGCAACTAAGATTGTCTGTACCGTACCGTATACCGTAACGTGGTATTCCGTAAGAGGAGGAGAGATGGCACCCCCCCTCGACCGACTTTCAAAGCTCGATTGCTCCACAACCAAGATTGTCTGTAGCGTACCGTATACCGTACCGTGGTATTCCGTATGAGGCGGAGAGGTGGCACCCCCCCTCGACCGACTTTCAATGCTGGATTACTCCACAACCAAGGGAACGCGGAGAGAGCCCGGTAATTCTATCGAAAGTCCTCGAAGATATGTTTCCGAATCCAACATTGTTGACGTTGGGACGATTTGGTTGTGAGCAATCGAGCTGTGAAAACCGGTCTAGGGGGGGTGCCATATTACCGCCTCTTACTGTATGTCAGCAGTGGTGGCACGTGGGCACGTGGGACGATCCGTGTATACATCGGTGGTCTCCCGAGTTCCCATGGTTGTGGGAAAGCATCTACGGATCGGTTCTTCCATTGGACCGGATCCTACGCTTCCAACAAGTACCTGTCACTCACTACGTGTATATTTTTCCCTGAACAACACGATAGCAGCACACACAGCCGCATGCGTGCACGTCGACGCCGTACGTGCTCACGGCCGTCCTGGTATGCCATTGCTACCGCAGAATCTCCTCCCCTCAGGACGCATCATCTGCGCACAACACACGGACGTGTTTGCTGTTCTGTTTGACACGCCGCTGCGCTTCTCGCTCACGCCATACTTGATGCGCACACTCAGCTGAACATTTGGTCTGGCAGTTTATCTCTGCTCCACATGTCAGCCACGCCAGCACAGAACAACAGTGTACTTCGTGGCAAAATACATAGTGCTGGCTGTGTGTTTCGAGATCCGGAACGCATACACAAGGGGTGTCTACGTGTTCACGCTTGCTTTGGCCGGCGTTCTTGATGTACCCTTGCCTTGTTCGTTATTTTGTGCGTTCTACGAAGCACTTCGTAGTGTGGCTTCGTTGATTTTCAGGCCATCTAGAAGGCAAACTTGGTAGCCCTAAACTACGCACGCGTTCATGCCAAATACTAACCCGGTGACATTTTCGCAGGAATCGAGTCATCACCGGTTCGGGAGAGTTACGTCATGCACCATACGAGTGTATTGTGTCTATCTCTCAACTACGACGGCACCTGTTTAGATGATGTCGAGTTCCCACCCAATCAACACGCGGGCTTACACGGGGGGAACCCCCCTTGTCTGTAACTGGCAACCACGAATCACCCTCTCAAACTTACCGAGATGATTCACCAGTAAGGAAGTTTCGAGCGCGTCTGGGTGGTCGAAGTTGGTCTTGGCTCGTTGCTCGATGGGGAGATGGGAAAGATCCCGGTAGTAGTAGTCGTGGCAGATGTACGTGACCCTCTGAGCACCACCCAGCGCTTCAAGGACGGCTCGAGATAACGTCCTAACAATGCACTCCGGGAAAAGTGGGGGGAAGAGATGTAGAACAGGAGCGAGAGAGAGGTTTCGAGTCCACGTGTCGCGTTAAAAACAGAGGTGTGCTGTGTGGCGCGGCGAGTTGGGTTCGGCAGCAGTCGAAGCGCTACCCGATCGGCTTGCCAAAGAATCCGGTTGGGCGTGGGCCTACGTCTCGCGATGTGTCTGCATGGTCAGCGCGTGCACTGGGTATCGTAGGAGGTAGACATGTGGCATGCAACGCACCTGCACACAGCATCGGACTTGAGACAACCGATTCTGATTTTTATGAGCAGCCGTACATCTCATACATGCACGAAAGCGGCGTTGAACGGAGTTGGCAAAACAAAACATACCCGTGTCAAACGCGCCAAGAAGATGGAAATTGAACAAAGTAAGGCTTCGGCGTCAATTGAAACAAAGAAATATCTGACCAAAGAACACAGCCCAGCAACGGGCTCTACTCGCAGTCGCATGCCTATAGAGGGGTAGGTCAACGTTGAAGTAAATCGGACCTCGACCCCTCCCGTTTGCTTGGTCCCAATCTGCTGAATGTCCTCCCACATACCTACCGCCGGCCTCACCAAAGTCTTCCTTCAATGATTCACGCTCTCCTACCTTAAAAACCAGACGGGACGACCCTTCCCTTCAGGGAGCAAGACCGGAGGCCACACAGAGGACTGACGCACTCTGTGGTGCATGCCGTCAGCAAGGTCGTACCCGTTGGAATCGATGGTGCAAACGCCAAGAGCATCGTGGGTACCGCGGTGTCGAACGAGGCACCCGTAACCTTTAATGCTGACGCAGCAGTACGCGCCTACAAACACTCACGTCTTCCCCGAGCCCGAGCCCCCGGCGATGCCGACCACGACCGGCTTCATGACTTCCACGTTTGGTTTTTTCTCAAGGGAGCCTTTGGCTGTTGGACGCACCGGCGGTGGGGTGCGTGCAAGTCCGATCGAACCTGTGAAGCATTTCATTGGTATCGTCAACATTTCGGGCTTCTACTCACACCCGTAAATATCCAAGCAGAACCAACCTGGAACTTGTAACACCAACTGGAAACCTACGCCGGCACCGGCAGCACCAACCCGACACCTAATGCGGCTCACCATCCTAGCTAGAACTTACCCGCCCGACGCCAGCAAAAAAAACATTTGTGGCACGCAGTTCGCTGATTGGCCAGCGCACTTGCGGCGGAATTTCAAATATTCCAAAAAAAAACAGGCACGACCCAAGATCCTTGTTCGACGGGTGGCGTAATCCACGGTGACGTCGCCACCCTGGACGGACGAAATCCTGGGAAAATCGTACCTTCTGGCAACGATCTTTCTGCAGAAGCATCATCTTGGGTTTGCAGGTGGGGCTTTTACGGCTACACCCGGCTCCTCACAAAAAACGCGAGAGTTATATAGTCTTAACCGCGTTTCACAAACAGCTTGAACTTAGAGCGAGGGGTATGCACACACGCAGCATTACGTGCAGGGGACGTAACAATCGAAAGAAAAAGCTACCAACACCAGGTAGCATTCTGGGCCATAGATCAAACTGTGTTTGTATGTATACCATGTTTTGGCCAAGGGAACAAGCCCGGTAAACCAGCTTGATTCGCGTCCAATCAGTTGTTCACCGGGGACGAGTTAACGCACCCGGAAGACCCGGCAATTTGGTACAATTTCGGGGTGCTTCATGCACGTGCATACAGCAGTTTGCTAGAACACCTCTAGAGTAGTTTCTGGTTGCCTGCTTCTACTGCCAAGGCATGCGACGCCACTTACACATAATATCGGTAGGCTCTGCCAATGTGGTTGCTTGTCGTGAGTGTGCATGTCGGCAAGACCGAAGCACGCTGCGGGAAGATTGTCATTAAAACGTGAATTTCAAGCATGTCGATCTCATGCTTCAAGGCCTACAACTGCTAGCGGCACAGTGTTAATCAACGGTGTTGCTCAAGCGCCTGGTGTTCTTGTTGTTGTTGTGTTCGCATTAAAAACCGTTCCGTTCTCTCTACCCAGTACCTTCTTCTGTCCGTAGTAGTCTAACACTTGACGCGGTCGATTCCCGTGATCACAGGCTAACTTACCCAAAAAAGGCATACGAAAATAAAATGGATCCGAAGGGTCCGCAAGTCAATAGAATGGTTTCTTTTAGAAAGATGTGGCAGAGGCTTGTGTCTCCTAAGGCTTCGCGGGAGAGGGGAGGATATGAAGCTTACAGCAGTCGGGGGGGGGGCATCACCAAGGACTTTTTACCTAGCAGTTTGACCTATGATAAACAGAAAAACATCGTGGACAAAAAACACCATCACGGAGCCCCCGGATTAAGGGACCGGGTTCCGTTTTAAGGGTTGGGTTAGGGCTTTTAGGCTTGTTGTTTTAGAGTTGACCGTTTTCTTCGTGCCCCGGCCACCCCCCTCCTCAATCTAGACTTAAGTGGGTTGGCGCTGTTGGCAAAGCGCTGTAAAACACGCCACCCCAAATATAGCCCCCATAGTATGCGCTACCAAAGACGCGTGACGCATGGATGCGTGGAGTGAGGGTTGCTTACGGAAACTTCACAAGTTGAGTGATGTAGGAGATTGCCGGACACATACACGTGTTGAGTGATTGTAGCTGTATACTGAAACCCCATGGGTTGAGTGAGGTTTGAGATTGCCAGACACATGGACGGGTTGAGTGGGGATAGTTGCATGCTGAAACCCCACGGGTTGAGTGATGTTGGAGTGCCGGACACATTGACGCTTTGAGTGAGGAAAGACACATATTGAACCTCACAGGTGATTTGTATTGGAGATTGCCGGACACCCAGACGCGTTGAGTAAAGATACCTGCATACTGACACCTCAAAGATGGATTGGTTGTTGAGTTTGCCAGACACAGTCTAGACGCGCTGCGTGGGGATAGCTACATACTGAAACCTCACGAGTTGAGTGATGTTGGATAGTGCCGGACACATAGACGCTTTGAGTGAGGAAAGACACATACTGAAACCTCACAGGTGATTTGTATTGGAGATTGCCGGACACATAGACGTGTTGAGTGAGGATAGCTGCATACTGAAACCTCACAGATGGATTGGTTTTTGAGTTTGCCAGACACATAGACGCGTTGAGTGGGGATAGCTACATACTGAAACCTCACGAGTTGAGTGATGTTGGATAGTGCCGGACACATTGACGCTTTGAGTCAGGAAAGACACATACTGAAACCTCACAGGTTGATTTGTATTGGAGATTGCCAGACACATAGACGTGTTGAGTGAGGATAGCTGCATACTGAAACCTCACAGATGGATTGGTTTTTGAGTTTGCCAGACACATAGACGCGCTATGTGGGGATAGCTACATACTGAAACCTCACAGGTTGATTTGTATTGGAGATTGCCGGACACATAGACGCGTTGAGTAAGGATAGCTGTATACTGAAAACCCACAGTAGCTATAATGA